TCTTGAATTAAAGAGAAAGGTAACAAAATTGAATGTGATTTATGTTTCAATGGTGTTCCTTTTAAATGTTTTCCAAATATTTCCATGTACCCGACTGTGTTCTTCATCGTAGAATCAAACGTACAAACTGTATGGGATGGTGAATCACATGGGCAGTCTAACAGGTGGACATTACACAGCCACCATCCTGTCCAATGAGGACGAAACCTGGTATGAGTGTAGTGATTCTTACGTCAGGAAGGTAAGGTTACTTAATCTATTCCATTATGATGGTACACATTCAAAACATACCAACAGAAATATCAAACATTAAACAGAAGTTCATTTACATTGTTTGGTCTGTTTCTGTTGAATGGTGCAGGTTGAACAGCTGTTTGAAAAAGGAACTTACAAGTATGTTTGATCAAATCTATTTCAGAAAATTGTATTAATAATAATTTGGATATATTACATTATCTACCCAGAAGTGTTTATTGTATGCTGTCACCCTTTTTGTTGTACTATGCAAACAAAACATCACCAGATCCAGGACTGTATATCTTCTCATGTACAGAGGTAGGCTCACAAAAATACACAAAGAAATCATTTAAGATATGACTTTAATTACAAACAGATTATTGCTAAATATATAATTTTTTCTACTCTTCGTAGCCACAGAGTCTCAGGTGCCTTGTGGGACCAAATCAGAATATCTGGCAGACAATGCAATGCAAAAACAGGATGACAGTAACTTGAATGAACCGAGGACAGACGAAGTGGAATACAAAAAAAATGTTGAAGAAAGATGCAAAGAAAACGATGAAGAGGACGAAGAACAGACAGAGATGCCGGAACAAACAGGTAATATGAAGAACATGTGGGAATCAGTGAGATGCAGTAGATACATAATATTATGGATAATTGGCTCTATGTGAGTGATTTTATATAAATACATATATTATACAAATGGTTCACCAGTTCTGGGACTGTATGTCCTCTCATGTTCTCTAAAGTATCTATTTCCAAAGGCACATTACTCGGGTTTATTTGTTGACATTTAGACTTGTTTCAGGGTTTAAATCATGAAAACGAAAATACTAATAGATCAGTGCTGAATTGCTAAATTGCTTTTCTTCACTTCAAAGCCACAGAGTGTCAAATACTTCAGACCAACCAGAAGAGAGACGAGGAAGAACACAAAGGACACTGATTACACTCTAGAAATCATTGTGGTTTTGTTTGTAGATGCGAAAGGTTGCCTTCCATGGAGACTGCCATGTTGAACCGCCATGTTTCAAATACATATAGATATGAAACTTCAACTGTCTTATTTCATTCAAACAAATGTGATTTTCATTATGCATCAAAAGCAGAATATGCAAATGCATTAAGTGTTAGTTAAACTATGTTTTGTTTATGTTTTTTGACTTTCAGTTATATTAAGTTTGTCTGAAGAATTTATTTCTGGTTTACTCATCCACCAGGTGATTCTCCAGGAGCTGATGAGAGTACGTCTTGGATCAAGAAAATATGTGAAGTATTTTGTAATTGTTTTTTGCCTCTTACTATAATAGTAATTGGTTGTTATGTTTATTACAACTATAACAATAACAACTAGATAGGTAATTTGCCTTTGTCTGGATCTATGAAGAGTTAAAGTATGTCATGTTACTAAAACATTTCTATTACTATTATTAATAGTCATACAATATGTCAGACGAATACTTACTCATAAGGACTCCAATCATATTATGCGTTAGCATCCGTGCAGATTTATATCTGATGTAAGACCAAACTAAAATAGATGAAGAACATCTCAAAAACGATCACATCTTGTGCAAGATGATTGTGGCAGATAACCGTAAGCCAAGACTGTGTAACATTGTTTCTGTACCTCAGTCCATTATAATAGGTGATGTCTGCAAAGGAATAATCAAGTGAGGACCAAGGGTCCATTTTGTTCAATTAGATTAACAATTGTCTCAAATCTTACCAAACTGGTGAAGTTTTGAGATGTTATTGTTGACGGCTCAGAGGTAGAGGGGGTTGTCCACTAATCAGAAGGTCAATCCCCGGCTTCCGTCCGCTGTGAGTGGGAATGGCACATGGCAGCCACTGCCATCAGTGTGTAATGGCTGAGTGTGGCATGTAGTGTACAGCATATTGAGTGGTCGAAAGACTAGAAAGGCGCTACATAAGTACAGTCTATTTACCATATTGTGTTTTTTTTAAATTAAAAAATGTAATTACACATTTATTTATTTTTTCTCAGATAATGTTTTGGTTACACAATGTTCTCACTGTTAGCTGTTGATGTGTATGTGTGTGGTTTTATGAATAAATAATGTTCGTTCTGTTTTAATCACATTGGTCTACTGCTTGTTTTAGTTACTGTTAGCTGACATTTGGGAAAACTGACCGCCCCACTTTTTATTTACTGTTAATTGGAACTCATTTTACATACTTTTAGAAATGTTTTAAGAGTATTCGACTTAAAATCAAAAGTTAAGTTCAATTAAAAACAGTTAATATCTGTGTAAAATTATAAATTTGCAAATGTATGGTTATGTATTACATTTTTTCTTTTTATGTGTAGAAATAAAGTGTAGCACTGGTGTCTGAAAAGCTAAATGTCATTATTTATGTATCTTGCCAGCAGCAACTGCAGTGTTTTATAAAGTTTAATCTCAAATGAGGGACTTTCTGTATTTCCTCATTCGTTATTAGACTATGGGAGAGGAGGGTGATGCAGAAGATGAATAACAACTCAGTCAGAGCAACAATTCATGACAAAAAAAGTCAAAGAATAGTGAAACACCTAATGAAGTAAACAAAACAAACAAGAAAAGAGGAATTGTAAAGGTGCAGGGAAAACTGTCTATAAATAGAGATGGTTTGGCAACTGCATAGTTTTGCAGTATTCTCGTCTACGTTCCTCCCTCATGCTGCATGTAGGACAGGCTCGGACAGAGGGGCAGGCGGGGACCACCTCCACAGCGGGCAGACTGATGGGTTTACATGTCTGCAAAAGTTGCAGATCCTTGTTAATGCAACCGTCATTGACGCAGCGGTCAGATTGAGGGTCTGCACCTTTCCACTGGATATTTGGTTGGGCCTCTGGTGATGCTACATACTTCCATGCATCAATCAGGATTTACTGTTGCCCATTTCTACATTATTACATATTGTTACTGTTACTGCTTACCACAAGATGGCACCATTGTCTGTGAGTTAGATGGTATGACAAATTGTCTACTGATTCTCCACCTCCTAAAGCTTTTATGGTGATTAAAAGCTCATGCATTGGCTGGGATTTGAAACCAGGTCATCTGCTTGGGAAGCAGCTATGCTTACCACTTTACCACCAATGCCTTGAGAGCAGCTCAACATCCATGACTCCAACATGTGGTCTCACAAATGGCTCTTCGAACCCTTTGAGTACTTTGAGAAGAAAATATTCAGTAATGCTGCTAAGGATGTCTTGGATGTCAAAGAAGTAAGTATCACTC